CTGTGGTCAATGACATGAGACAAAGTATATGTGAACTGCTGTATATAAAGCGAATTTGCTCTGTAAATCTTCACCCAAATCACAATAAATAATAATAATAATAATAATAATAATCAGTAACAAAATTGGCAATAAAAAATAAAATAACAAAACAAAAAAAAAAGGTCACCATAAGTTGAAATCCACTTGATGGCAATAGTTCTGAATCATTGTAAAAATTATAAAATATAGCAAAAAGATTTTTTAGTATGTCTTATGACTTCAAGGGGTTAGTTGAACTTGACAGAGCCTTCTGGTAAGTACAATACTACAACATCAAATGCAGCCAGTCTCTGCCTAAACAAAATAAGAATATTTTAAGTTGCTGCTACCAAAACTCACTGCCATCAAGTCGGATCCAACTAGCGACCCCTCCTTGGGTTTCCGAGCCTGTGTAGTTGTTGTTGTTGTTGTTGTTATGTGCCGTCGAGTCATACCCAACTCATAGCAACCCCTCCTTGGGTTTCCGAGGCTGTGTTGTTGTTGTTGTTGTTGTTATGTGCCGTAGAGCCATACCCAACTCATAGCAACTCCTCCTTGGGTTTCCGAGGCAGTTATCACTACAGAAGTAGATTGCCCCATCTTCCTTCCAAGGAGTGGCTGGTGGATTCGAACCGTCAGCCTTCTGGTTAGCAGTCAAGTGCCTTAAGTACTATGCTACCAGAGCTACCCTTCTGAGGAGTGGCTGGTGGGTTTGAACCACCAGCCTTCTGATTAGCAGTCAAATGCCTTAGGCACTACGCCACCAGATCTCCTGCTTATGTATCAGAAGGAGCATTTTCAATTAGTTATCGATTAAAAGTAAAGTATTGGTATAGGGAGAAGGATAGTAATGACTTTCAATGTTTCAAGAGATGTCCCTTACATGTATTCTGCAACTAGAGGTTTGTATATTTTTTTCCTTAAAAAAAAAAAAAAAAATTTAATAGAAAGTATAATTCAAAAACTTAATCCTTTGAAAATCACAATCAGAAGGCAGCTAACAGACTCTGGTCCAACCAGTCTAGTATATACTATCCAAGGGCTGAAGTCCCAGGCAATGACCCCAGGCTTGAGTCTGTGCCAAGCTAGTAAGGCCAAGCGCCCTCTCTACCTTCAGAGCAAGAATTAAGCCCCATGATTGTGAACCAGGATAGGAAGATGTTGAAAAACGGAAATACAGTGGGCCGGCCAAGAAGCATACAGTGCTTGTCATTCATCAGATGGAAAATTAGGTTTCTGTTGTAAAATAAATTACTGTTTACTTAATAGCATTTCTGAAGTACTATTTATTCAGTAACTATTACAATGCATAATGGAGTTTGACCCTTTAAGAATTAAAGGGAAACTACCATATCACTATTACAATATTTCCTAAATGATTCAAGTATAACTATGCCCTTTTTCTGAGAAGTTGCAAAAGATTAGTGTTGAACCAAAATATGTTGCATAAAGATAGTAAAATAAACTGACTACTTTACATGTTTAAAGTGGCATTGAAATTTGAGGCTAAATTTATTTAGAGGAAGGATAAATAAATCAAATAGATAAAAAATCATGAAAAACTTTAATAACATTTGTCTTAAAAATTGTGAAACTTATTATAACACATTCAGATAAAAATATGTGTGTGGAATGCAATAACTTATAAGAAATACCCTACTTCACTGAAATATTCAAAGAAATATCCTTTGAAAATGGTCTACCATGAGAGTATAAACTACTTAAAAATGAAATCATTGAATAATCAACATTGTGAAAAATTAAAGCAACTAAATACATTTGCAGTTTTCCCAAGTATATATAAAATGATTGTTAATGTTTGTGACACAATAAATACCCCCAGTGTACAACATAATTTTTTTTTTTTTAAAAAAAGGAAGCAATCAAAATCCTTCAAAAGTTGTAGGTCTAGGAGCACTGTTCTTAGCTGCCAATTTTAAACCTAGGAAATATGCATTAAAATATACTCTATGTGCAATTTTAAGACAATTTAATGATTCAATGAAAGTGTTAGTAATTTGTTTCCTTGTTTCCTAGGCTTTAAATTAGTTCTTTAAGATTAAAACAGAGCTGAACTTAGAGGACATTATGCTGAGTGAAATTAGTCAATCACAAAAGGATAAACATTATATGACACCACTGTGGTAGTTCAGTTTGTGTGTCAATTTGGCTGGACCTGGTAGAGTGGCTGGGCAGCTGGATGTAGTATTCCCCATGATGAAACTGGTAATCAACTCCATAGTACAATCTACTGTGAGCAGATGATTAGCTGCCTTAGGGAATGTGGTCCACTTCCTGTATATAAGCAGAAGCCTTGGGGAATGGTCTCTAGCTTATGGCAGGCTTGGACCCTGCATGTAGCAGTGTCGTTGTTCAGCAGCTTGCCATGCTCTGCCGACCTTGGGACTTACAATGGACTTGAATTAATGGCCTGCCGTGTGGTTTGGTAACATCGGGACTATGCCATTTTATTTGTTGACCTTGGGCTTGTCAGCCTCAGCAGCCAGTGGCTGCCTGAGTTAAGAGATGCCTCTAGCTTCAGTGGGCCGAGAGCAAGAGGTAGAGCTGAAGCCCAAGGTCGAGGGGCTTTCACCCAGCCCCTAGAGCCTGGCACTTTGAACTCTGATTTAAAGCCTCCAAACTGTAAGGGAATAAACTCCTGTTTGTTAAGGTTATCCCATTGGTAGTATTTTTCTGTCAGAGCAGCACTAGGTAGCCAGAACAACCACTATTGTAAAATGGCAAGGAAAGGGTTTCACAAAAAAAGGAATATTCTTTGATGGTTACCAGGGTAGATGGGGAAGGGAAGATAAACCACTAACTAAAGGGAAGACACATATTAACTTGGTGAAGGAAAAAAAAAAAAAGATGAAAACAGAAATTTTGATACAGAAATTCTCCTTTGTAATTATGAAACAGCTCCAATACAAAGCATTTGCAACATGATTAAATTTTCATTTAACACCACTAAAACATTGTCAGTGTAAGTGTAATAATAAAATTATTTGACTGGACATGGCTGCCACAAAATGCTCATATCTTCTTCAGATTTGTTATTCATGTTTAAATGAACTGCTGATGCAGTGATTAGTTAAGTCCTGATTTTCCTAAAAACTAATCTATCTTAACCAAGTTATAATTCTCTATTCAATGATCTCAAGAGAAACTGCAACCATTCTGTCTGAACACAAAAAAGGCCTTCAATTACAGAGATTTCATGTTTAAAACTTAAACACATTGTCATGTAAATAAATATTCTTTTGCTTCAATTTTAGATACATATTTTAGCAAAAGTAATCTAAATGTATGTGTATCTCAACATTAAAGCACCTAATAACAGTTTCCATTAGTAAAAGCTTTTTAAATTTTTGAAAAATCTTAAAAACCTGCTCAGAGGAGAAAGACAGGGAAGAGAAGAGAGTTTAGAACTTTGGGCACTGCTTCTATGGAGCAGCATTTTAAGAACTACACAGTTCCATGGGTATGTAACCTAATATTTATAAAACAATATTTTAGAAGTTGAAAATTACCTCTGGACAGTTCACTATAAAACTATAAAGTGGTGTGTCATTGAGAAAGCAAGTGTTCTCATCCTTTCCTTTAATAAAATTGTGCTTCTGGTCCCAAAAGAGTTTTGTACTTGTACAATGTCCAATTACATACATTGCCACTTGTCTAGTTATTTCTACAGACAATGTGTCTTACAGCACATGTTTTCAAACACTTGATAGTTTAGAGGGGCCCTACCTTATCAAACATCACTGCAAAGTTCAGTGTCAGTACAAAAAACCAAACTCACTGCCATCAGTCCATTGCAATTCATAGGGACCCAATGGAGCCCCACTGGGTTTCCCAGGCGATAAATCTTTGCGGAAATAGACGGCCTTCCGTAAAGCAGCTGGTGGGTTTGAACTGCCAGCCTTCTGGTTAGTAGTCAAATGCTTAGGCACTGTGCCACCAGAGCTCGTTGCAGTAAGCATTACTTAGGCAAAATAATTAGCAAGTGTGGCATAGAAACTTAGTATGTTTAATATTACTGAATTCTGATCAGAATATAATTGGGTTTTTTAAATATTTTTTTTCAACTATAATTTGCAGTTTGATGACACAGTGCCTCTAGTCCCATCACAGAGAAAACAGGAAGAACTGACGACATGTACCAGCTACCATAAAGTCTCTTGCAACATTGACTCTACTTATCCCTCTGCAAGAATTCAGAAATAAGAGTTTTCCCTAACATAAAACAGTGAGCCCGGGTAAATGTCAAAATCGTAGCCATGAAGTAACTGCATGGTTTGAGGATGGGTCATGTAACCTGAAGGGTTTACATGGTATCAAAATAAGATCAGATCGCTGAAAACTACTGAAACAGCTGCAATTCGTCTTGTTCTCTATCCACGCATTAAAAACTAGAAACAAAACTGCTTACAGCACTAACTGAAAATACCCTTCATGATCACTGACCTTTCTCTAGGCGAGAGGCAGTGTGCGCAGGATGTGTCCTCGAGTTCAGATGTGAACACGTCCTGTGCCCACACCACAGCTGTGAACTCGAGAGGAACATGCAGGACCACGTCGAGGCGACGTCGAAGGTACAGGAGTGAGCTCCCCCGCGAAGGGGGCCTCTGCGGAGCGCGACTGCACCGGGAGAGACCCGTGCAAGGCCGACGGCGCTCACACGCACAGACGCACACAGACAGGCGCCCCCAGCTGAGAAGGGCACTGAGAGGGCTGAGGTCCGCCCCCCAGAGAAGCTCGAGGGAACTGACGGGGCAGGACCCCAGCTGGAAGGCAGCAGTCGGGGCATCTGAGGGCGGCGGAGTCCCAGCCCATCCACCACGCTGCCTGGATCACTCACCTGGGGTCCCTCAGTTCGGGGTCCCTGTACCGAAGGGTGAAGAGAGCTGGTTCAGGAGTTCGCAAACCCAAGCCACCCGCCAAGCCCAGCTCGGCCCCGGACACGCGAGGAGGACACTGACCGCTCCGGCTGCAGCAGGTCCTCTGAGGGCTGCCCCCTCCAAGGGGGCTCCAGTCTCGCCCCACGCCGGCGGCCACGACAGGATGCGTTCTCTAACTCCAGCCCAGTGAGGCGCCGTGTAGTTCCGAGAGTGGCAGGACCTGCTTTTACTTTCCCGGTCGACTATATGACTTGGCCTCCTGTGAGGTAGCTCTCGGTGACGGCAGCGGAGACCGGGACTACAGCTTACAGTTGAGGTTTGAAAAGTGCAGCCGCGTTGGGGGCCAGTGCTGTTCGCCAGGTCCCGCCCCCTAAACAGAGAGAACCAATCAAAGCGCGCATGGAGTGTTGGGTTGTCACGTGAAGGCCTGGGCGGGACGCTGGTCTGAGCCCCGTGCTGCTGGGCGGGGCCCCAGCGGTGAGAAGGTGGGGCTCTCGCCGGAGGGTGGAGCCTGGGCGGGGCTGCGCAGCAGGTGGGGCCCGAGAGTAATTGCAGCGAGGGAGGGAGAAGGCGAGCGCTGCCCAGCTACGCGCAGGGCTGTAGCTCTACCTGGGTACACCCCTCCCTGCCTTGGGAATGATCAGGCCAGGAGTTGTGGGTATATAGAGGCTGGGGAGACAAAGAAGGAAAGTTCGCCCCAGCTGCTTCTGACTCATTACCAAACTTTTGTGCCTACCAAGGTCCTGTTTGCTGACTCTTCCCGATCATCTTCTTTATAACCTGAATCCAACCCCCAAGTGGAGAACTATCCTAGTTGCTACAACTTGGCAAATGTTCCTTGCAGTATCAACAGCCCTTAGAGATGTATGGAGTCTGGGCTGTCAGGCCAGGCTACCACTAACGCGAGCTCCAGGGAGTCGTGTCCTGAGAAGTGGGTGAAGACACTGTAGCGAAAAGTCCGAATGGAATAAATTGAAGATGAAAACCCACAGCAAACTACTCGGGATCTGGTACCCCATGAACAGAATGAAAAAGTTAAAAGTTCTGTGCAAGACCCAGTTGTTTTCTATCATCTAGGATTGGTTGCAGACTATATTTACAATAATTATGTTTTAAACTATTGGAAAGAGATATGGGGGAGGGGTGAGATTGTTTGTTCTCTTGATTTTAAAAAAACTTTCAACATCCAGTCAACATTTAAAGAGATTTGACTGCTAACCAGAAGGTTGGTGGTTCAAACCCATCAGCCACTCTGCGGAAGGAAGACTGGGCAATCTACTTCCAGATCGGAAAACCCAAGGGGGTCGCAATGAGTCTGACTCCATGGCAGTGAGTTTGATTTGGTTTGGGAAGCCATGGTAAACTCGCATCAAACTGTCCTTTTGCCCTTCCACATGATTTCTCTGAAGATCAATACATAAATTGTACTAACGGCCCTTCAATGAAGTCCGTTTGCAGTTACTAATCCCACAGTTTAGTGCCTTAGGCATTTGACTGCTAAGCAGAAGGCTGGGGCTTCAAACCCACCAACCACTCCTTTGAAGGAAGGTTGGGCAATCTACTTCCGTAGTGATACCTCCTCAGAAACCCAAGGAGGGGTCACTATAAGTCCGTCCAACTCCACGGCACATAACAACAACAACAACGTGTCCTTTCTGTAAGCCTTGTAACTTGAGTATTGCTTCCATCTACCTACTTTCTTGTTGATAACAATCGGATCGACTAACAAAATCAAACCCACTGCCATCAAGGCTATTCGTACTCATAGCAACCCTATAGGACAGAGTAGTGCCCAGAAGGTTTTCAAGGCTGTAAATCTTAGGGAAGCAGACTGCCACCAGTGGGTTCCAACCACCCGCCCTTGGTTGGCAGTTGAATGCTTTAACAACTATACCACCAGAGCTCCTTTGGATTGGCCAGAGAAGTCTAAAATTAATACGGAAACAAACAAACAAAACCCACACACACTAAGATTTAATTTTCAGCTATAAATATCTAAGAATCCACAAACCAATTAAACTGTCCCATATTTTCTTTCATGAATGTGGGTGCCACCTCTCAGAGGTCTCAGCACAAGCACTGGAACCAGTAACCTATAAAGGTCAAAGGACTGATTTTTTTTTTCCTTAATTATAGTTTGGGTCAAAGTTTACAGAGCATATTAATTTTTCATTCAAAAATGTGTACACATTTTGTATTATGACATTGATTGCAATCCCTTCAATGTAATAGCATTCTCCTCACTTCCATTTCCATTTGTCCTTCTTTCCAGCCCTTCTTTTCTTCTGAACTTTGTTTTTGGAAAGATGCTGTCCTTTTGGTCTTATATGGCTGATTGTATTGAAGAATACATCCCTCTCAGCTATTATTAGTCACTTTATAGGCTGAAAGTTGATTCCTGGGGGCCAGTTCAGTTCCAGGCTTGAAAAATGTCTAAGGGCCACAGTCTTAGGGGTTCCACTAGTCTCTATCAGACCAATAAGTCTGGTCTTTTTATGTTTTTTAATTTTGTTCCACATTTTTTCCCCTCCCTCTTTGTCCAGGACTTTCTATTGTGATCCTGTCCAGAGTGGTTGGTAATGATAGCTGGACACCATCTAGTTCTTCTGGTCTCCTGGAAGTAGAGGCTGGGGTTCACGTGGTCCCTTAGACCTTTGGACTGATTGTGTCCTCCTTGAGTTCTTCATTTTTTTCACTCTCCTTTGCTCTGGAGAAGGAGATACCAACAGTTGCATCTTAGATGGCCACCCACAAACTTGTAAGAACCCAGTAGCTACTCACCTAAATAGAATGTAAAACATCTTTGTGGACTATTTTATGCCAGTTAACCTAGTTGACCTCCAAGACTTAAGTCTTAAGTGGTCTTAAGTCCCCAAGTCCTGTGACTCATTCATCAGAGTGTTTAGATACAGTGAAGATGTTTTCAGAACTCTACAATGTCCTTGGATATAATTACTGTATATACAAATACAAGTGTAGAAATTTCCTCTGCCACACCGATATATAAGGAGCTCTGGTGGTGTACTTGTTAAGGCATTTGGCTGCTAACAGAAGGTTGGTAGTTCAAACCCACCAGCTGCTCCAAGGAAGAAAGATGAGGCAGTCTGCTTCTGCAAAGATTTACAGCCTTGGAAAGCCAGTGGGGGCATCACTATGAGTTGGAATCAACTCAATGGCAGTGAGAAAAAGAAGACACCTCATGGGTGTACTCCCTTTCACCTTCCCACATCTGTTCAGCTTGCATGTCTACGTATATACCTACCTACTCATAAGTGTTGTTTGTTATTACTGTGCAGGATTGTGTGTAGATGTTATTTACCTTTGTTGTCCTTTACTCATATGCACTTCCCAGTGATTTCCTTTGCCATTTGTCAGGTCGTGCTGCCTCTCTTTTGTTCTGTATTGCCTTTTCCTTCACCCCTGTTACTACGCATCTACTTTCTAGTTAGAGGTTTATCCTCCTTTCCATCCCTCATCCCTGGTAACCATCAAAAAAATGTTACTTTCTGTGTGTAAACCTTCCTTGTCTTGACTTTTTATAATAGTGGTCTCATACAATATCGGTCGTTTCGTGATAGCAAAATGTGATAGCAAAAACGGCATAATGTCCTCTAGGTTCATTCATGTTGATTTTGCGTATTCTTCATTTTTCGTTAGTGTTGCGTAGTATTCCACTGTATGTATGTACCTTAGTTTGTTTCATCCAATGATGGCATTTAGATCGCTCCATCTTTTTTGCTATTGTGAATAATGCTGCAATGAACATGAGTGTGCACATATCTGTTTCTGTCATGGCTCTTATTTCTCTAGGATATATACCTAATGGTGGGATTGCTGGATCATTTGATATTTCTATTTCCAACTTTTTAAGGACGCATCATAGCATTTTCCACAGTGGTTGTGCCATCTTACAATCCCACCAGAGAAAGAGAGTACTAGCTTCTCCATACCCTCACAAACGTTCATTATTTTCTGTTTTTATGAGCTTTGCTGTTATTGCTAGGGTGAGATGCTATCTCATTGTTGCTTTGATTTGCGTCTCTCTAATGATCACAAGCATGTCTTCATGTATTTGTCAGCTGCGCATATGTCTTCTTTGGTGAAATGTCTGTTCATGTCCTGTGCCAATTTTTTAATAGAATTATTTGTCTTTTTGCTGTTGAGATGTTCAAGTATTCTATAAATTTTGGAGATTAGTCCCTTGTCAGATATGTCGTTGCCAAAATTTTTTTCCTAGCCTGTAGGATCTCTTTTAGAGAAGTCTTTTGATGCACATAAGTGTTTAATTTTCAGAAAATATCATCTAGTTTATCTTCTGCTGTTTGTGCATATTTAGTTATGTTTGATAGACTATGCCATAAATTAGAGCCCCCAGGCTTGCTCTTATTTTTGCTTTGAGGATCTTCATAGTTCTATATTTTGCACTTAAGTCTTCGATCCATCTTGAGTTAATTTTTATATGTGGTGTGAAGTATGGGTCCTGTTTCATTTTTCTGCAAATTGATAGCCAGTTTTATCTCCAAATAGTGGACTTTGGCCCTTTGTCAAAGATCAGCTATCCATAGATGGATGGATTTATGTCTCAGTTCTCAGTTCTGTGCCATTGGTGAATGTGTCTGTTTTTGTATCAATATCAGGCTGTTTTGACTACTATATTAATTTCATCTTTTGGGTGGCTATTGTAAATGGTATTATTTTTTTTTATTTCCTTTGCAGAGTTTTCTTTGTTAGTAGAGGAATCCAACTGATTTTTGTATGTTGACCTTGTACCCTACCACTTTGATGAATTCTTCTATTAGTTCCAGTAGCTTTCTTACTGACTCTGGGATTTTCTATGTATAGGGTCAAATAGAGATAGTTTCGCTTCTTCTTTTCCAGTTTGGATGCCTTTTATTTCCCTTATTGCTCTGGCTAGGACTTCCAATACAATATTGAATAGGAGTGGTGATAAAGGCATCCTTGCCTGGTACCTGTTTGTAAGGGAATACTTTCTATCTCTCTCCATTGAGAATAATGTTGACCATTGGTTTTGTGTATATGTCCTTACTTATGTTAAGGAATTTTCCATCTATTCCTATTTTGCTAAAAGTTTTTTTTTTTTTTTTTTTATCAGAAATGGGTGTTGAATTTTATCAAATGCCTTTTCTGCATTGGTTGAGATGATCATGTGGTTCTTTTCCTTTGTTTTATTTGTGTGGTGGATTACAATGATTGCTTTTTCTAATGTTGAACCATCTTTACATACCTGGTAAGAATCCTACTTGATCATAATGTATATTTTTTTAAATATAA